AATATATTACCCAAATCGGAATTATAGCATCACAAGTGATGAATCCAATACACATATATATATCCGAATGTTCCAAAAGTGCCAATCAAATTTTCTTCTATTGGGAACTAGAAGAATTTTCATAAATCAAAACTGTTTCTGTCAAATAGTAATTGTTACATATGTAATACATATGTTACATTATTAAATATTAATTTAATCTGTTTATCAAGGCAAGAACAGTTATTCTGCAAAAAGTTCATCTGGAAGACATTCGACTTATATTTACAGATTCAGACATACGTAAATCAATTGAAATAAAATCATTTTGATGCACTCGACAGTTACCTAATGTTATGACCAGTGTTAAAGCAACTATCTTAAACAAAGGTGAATGTTTATAGAAAACTCATGTGCTTAGAAAATCTTCACGATTATAATTTTTGTAATTGATTAACAGATTTACAAGAATAACAAAGTGTAGACGATCTATACCGTCGCAAACTACAAAACTAATGCTTCAACTTCAACAATTCTTACTACACGAAACTGTACTTTCTATTTTCATTGTAATTAATGCACATCTTTGACATAGAAACGTTCTAGATGATGACACAAAAGAATATACTACGATACCAAAATAGATTAAGTTCAATATAAAAATTAACTGTCATTATTAAGCAAATTGCGAATGAGAAAATTAATATTTTTCTATTACTTAATGATATGTTACGTGACAATACGATATATCATCAAGTTCCTGCGATTGAACAACTGCGACACTAAATACAGGAACATTAATAACCGAAGACAATTTTTCATAAGCTTGTCTCATTTCAACACTGTCAGTCGGTGATAATCGCTGACATTACTACAAACAATTCTTCACAATATCCTATAAATTAAAAATTTCGTTAAAGATTGCTTTAAGCGAAAGCTTAATCATCATTTCTAGATGTTATTAACAAAATGCATAGCATCCTACATGGTTACCATGATGAATATCAGTGATAAAGTGAAAAAAGGAGTTTACAACATGCCGTCTGTAATAAATTTTTATATGAAACTAACATAAATGATCATATTACGGACAAATTTGGTCATCTTTGTAAACAAATTCAAGGATTCATAGGTTCTCATCTACAATACACCATCAAACAAATTAAAAAAAGCTAGTAGAAAACCAATACGAGTAGAACGCATGAAGAAAAAATCTTGTAGTAAATGGTTAAATGATTGAAAAAATCCACAAACCTCAGAAATGATAAACATTTTTAATTGAACAATCAGAGAAAAAGTAACAAACGGATTAAATTTCATCTCTCAACGAAGTAGATCAGATATATAGAGTCTCAATTGAAGTTTATTTACCAATAATTAATAAAAATTTTCATATTTTCATCGATGGCATTCATTCCAAATCATTATATAATCTACGATTGTTTATTACATTAGACATTTTATTACTTAAAGTTTATTCATAATGAGTAAGCTAGGGATGCACCAATTTCGGTTTTAGAACCGAACCCGGAGCCAAAACTGACCAGAACCGCTGGGAAACGGAACCGGTTGGCACTAGGGATGCGACGACCACGATAACCGTAGGTACGGTTACCGGTTCAACTACGATAACCGTACCTACGGTTACTGATGCAAGCCGGTTTTCACAAAGGAAACGACTTTTTAAGAAAATAAGGATTTATTATAAAGGCTGACAAAAGTAAATCAGGGTCGGATAATCCGAATCTGAGATCAGTTTTTCGAAATTTTGAGTTTCGATTTCCCAGCAAAAAAATCTCTTTCTCAAAGTCATGGTTTTCCTAGAAACTTTTCTTCGGGGAGAAATGATTTGTTTCCTAAAGAAAACGTTTTATTTTGGAAATGAAACTCCAAATTTCGAAAAACTCATTTCAAATTTGGATTCTCTGACCCCGATTTACCTTCGTCAACCTTTATTAAAAAGCATTAATTTCTTAAAAAACCTTCTCCTTGACCAACAAAAATAAAATTCAAACTTTCGAAAAACTAATTTCAGATTCAGATTTTCCGGCCCCAATTTACTTTCGTCAACCTTTATAATAAATCCTTATTTTCTTAAAAAGTCGTTTCCTTTGTGAAAGTCGGCTTGAATTAGTAACCGTAGGTACGGTTATCGTAGCTGGACCGATAACCGTACCTACGATTATTGTGATCGTTCCCAGGTCGGTGATTCTGGCCTCTTCCCGCTATTTCCGGTGTCTTTCCGGCCGGAAAAATAGCCGGACCATGGAAGCAGTATTGCGGCCGGAAATTTCTCGTACCCGGAAACTGAATGTTCCACTAATATCCCACAACCAAAATTGAACGGTAAAAAACTCGAAACCTCGAGGAATCCGCCGGAAACCGGTAAGGAACCGGCCATTTCCCACTGGCAAAACATGACATGACAACCGGTTCCAAATCTCTTTGAAAGATCTTAGAAAAATCTTTGCAAGATCTTTTCTAAATCTTTCGGAGAGATTTGGAACCGGTTGTCATGTTTTGCTGGTGGGAAACGGCCGGTCTCATGCCGGGTTCCTGAAGGATCTGGAGGCTAGAATCGTCGACCTGGGTAAATTCTATATCTATTTTTTTTCAGTTTTATTTCAAATAACAATCATGTCATTTAACTTGTTACAATTTTAGTTCGATACTACACCGTCATTAAAATTAAAAGTTCTTAATAAGAATATAGATTCCGATGAATGGAGTAATTAATCTGTTTTTCCTGCTATTTTTAAAAAAACTGTATAACGTTGGATCATTGATTTTTTACAAGTGTTTGCTTCTTTTGTCTGTGAATCAAAAGTTTGACTTGTGAACATTATGTACTCATCTCCTATCATGCAAGTTACGATTCAATTAACTATGCCAATTGCAAACTAAACTCAAGACAAAAAAGTGTGGGTGTGGGTTAAAAGAAGGACCACACCCACACCCAACAAAATATTCTTCGAGCACGTTTTCCTGAACTACCTCGACTCCGAGGTATTTTTCAGTAAGACATCACGAGATACATGCATATCCACATTAGGTATGGAGAAGGACGTATGCGAAGGTTTGAATCTGCATCATCATGCAGAACGCGAATGTAATACGTAACTTAGGTATTTCGTACTTTTCCCAGGGGCTCTCCTGGCGGAGCGCGACGTTTTCTCTCTTCGTACACTTTACGCGTACGGATTGAGAAGTCTTTCGAATCAACGGTACATCTTGACGAAGCATCAGATTAAAATACCCCATATAGGTACTTCGTGCTTTCAGACGAGGTATTCGCTGTGGGACACGACATGTACCCTGTCCTTACACATTACGTGTACGTTTTCAGAAGTCTTTCAAATATTTGAAAGATTTTTGAAGATCTCTGATAGATCTTTCAAAGATTTGCAAGACTGTCGGATTCGGACGTAAACGAAACGGAAAGAGGTTGCATATAACCAGGATCCTGTGATCGGGACGAAACACCGGAACCCTAGTTTGGAACTGTACCGAAAATGGCAGGTATACAGCTCGGATCCGGTTAAAGTGATTTTGAACAGAAAACTTAGTCGGGAACCGCACCGGAAACGGCAGCCGCATCCGTATATCGCATCCGGGTGCAGGAATGGGCGGGAACTAAGCAGAATTCGGAAGCCGGATCCAATTTCGGAACACTGCTTCCAGGAATTGACCGGAATTTCACGAGATACGGCCATTTCCCGCTATGCATCTTTGATCTGGGTTGCATCCCTAGTGTCAACCGGCTCCTATCAGTTCCAATAGGTTCCGTTTTCGGTTATTTGGAACCGGTCAAAACTGGAAACGGTGCATCCCTAGAGTAAGCGAAAATTGCTTGATACGGATCATCGTCGAGAAACTTATAATAACATAACTAAAGTCTTCAATTGAATACAAAATTTTAAAAAAATATTAGTATTAGAAATGATGAGTGATTTTTCTAATTTTTGCAATAGCACTATGTAAAACAAGAGTGAACGTCTACTTACTTCCCGGGGCATTATGATTTTTAAGAGACAAAACAAAAAGAAGATTAATATTATTTCATCAGCTATTTCATTTCTGCAAAAGAAAACAATCTGAGTTTGTAGTACCATTGAGCATATTGGTGCTAGTAAGGCTAATTTCAATTCTTTTTTATTCAGTGGAAAAGTCGCATTGTATATAAACAATATCTCAAAAACATGCTCTCATTACTACTAAATAATAATAATAAACTTTTTAAATATCTTTCTTTTGCATGAAATGTTAGATTTAATTGCGAAATTTAATGACGAAGAAGACAAACAATTGATTATTGTGACAAATATGAATAATAATGATAGAGAGAAATATCTTTTTTCACTCGGGAGATATTTTTGAACTAACTGTGCTATTCTATCATTTTTGTTGCTATTCAGCAAAGTATTTCTTATTAATTTAAACCAGATAATATTCTAACAAAACTAGGAATGCGAATTTCGGCTTGAGTACTATCAACCTTCAGTTGTTGAATTTTTAATAAATCTTACTTAGTAATGCATGAAAAAATTTTCGCGAAAAAAACGATGTAACAGTATAAAAATCATCTCCTTTATGAAAGATCAAGCCTCAAGCTGTTCTTCCATGCATTAGTCTTAATTTCGATAATTTTGGAGAAAATTCACTCTTTTTTAAGAAAGTCTTATCGACGACCAATTCCCGTAGAGATCTCCCTAATTTCAATGCCAATAAGATATTTCGAAGATTTTTTTTTCTATCTATTTGATATTGATTTATTTTTGTTTCGAATAAATATTGTTTCAAATTATTTTATAAAAAAAAAAAAACAAAAACAACTTTCCCCTGACACTACCATTGTCCATGTATTGTGAATACTGTCTGTCTGTTATTTTTATCATTAGAAAAACAAAAAAGAAAAACACAAAGAAGAGAATTTAAGTTAAAGACAAAAACAAAGAAAAGAATAAATGTTTACAATAAATAACAAAATTAGCGAGCAAGCAAGAGCAAAGAAAAATGAAAATCTACTCTCGCGGAATGTTCGATGAAATAACAAAACCTGGATTTGAATATTCTCGATATTTTGTATTTCCAGTAATACCCATTGTTGGATATGGTGCTTGTTCAAACATATAAACAGGATCTCCTTTTCTAGATGAACAAAAAACAAAAATCACATGAGAACAATGGATAAGAAAAAAACGAAAAAAAATCATAAACAAAAAACTATCTCGACCCCGAGCAACCCAATTAAGTTTTTTTTTAGTTTATATTTTTTATCAATGATTCTATTCTCCACAGAAAAATTAAAAAAAAAAAAGATTAGTTACTTTATAATAATACCTCTATAGACTGGTTTTTAAAATCCTGATTTTGGATTTTTTTTCTCTATGAAAAGACATTGACAATGAATTAAATAAATAACACAAAGACTCAAAACAAAAGAAAAAAACGAACGAAAACAACAAAAAAGAATCATACCTATGACGTGATGAATGTCGACAACAAATAAAACCAATTAACATTGTTATAACAACAAGAAGAAGAAGACAAATTGGTATAATCCAAGCAAGCTAAAAAAACTCTCAATAAAATTTTTCTTTCAAAAAAAAAAAATAAAAAAAAATCATACATTAATTAATGAAAAACTCGAACTTTGTAATGCTGCAATATCAACTAGATTAAAAGCAAAAGAGAAAAGTGAATCTTTTTTCCAATAGAAGAAAAAAAAGCAAATATTATCTACCACGAGCTTCACATCGCCTTCCAGTAAATCCATTGAGACATGTACATGTAAATCCACCAACACCATTCAGTGAACAACTTCCTGCGTTTAAACATGGATTTATTTGGCATGGATCATTTATTCGTGTTAATAGTTCAATAGTTGTTGTTATTGTTGTTGTTATTGTTGTTGTTATTGTTGTTGTTGTGATTATATCTTCACAACGTATACCTGTAAAATTTGGTAAACAAACACATACAAAACCTCCAAGTGATGTTTCTGAACATGAGCCACTATTAAAACAAGGTAATAATGCACATGGACTTTGTAAAGTTGTAGTCGGTATTGCTAAATAAAAGACAAATTATTAAAAAGGAAAAACGTCTTTTAAGAAAATGTTTTTTTTTTTTCTAAAGAAAAAACCTCGTTCACAACTTGATCCCAAATAGTCAGACGTGCATAAACATTCAAAATAACCAAACTGAACATTTCTTTGACATGTCCCATTATGAAGACAACGTTGTGATGGACAAGGTAATTCAATTTCACAACGTGAACCTGTATATGCTTCTGTACAAGCACATTTATATAATTGAGAAGAAGAAGATGATAATGATAAAGCAGGAGATGACGTGCATGTTCCATGATGAAGACAAGTCGTTACACTGCTTAAACATGGATCAAGCCAAAATTCTATATACATACATATATAAAGTATGATTTAATCATGCAATGATAGAAAATAAACAAGGCATTTTCTTTTCTTTCTTTCTTTTTTTTATGTCTAACCTTCGTGACATGTAGGTCCTGTTCGATCCGGTGGACATGCACAATAACTTCCTGTTTCCATTGGTATACATGTTGCTGATGGATGACATATTTGTTCAGTTGAACATGTATCAATTAATGTACAACGTGTACCTGTATAAGGTTCCAAACAACGACAATAAGAATTTTCATCTATTGTATTATAACAAATACCACGACCATTACATATTGAACCAGGACAATATTTTGACGTATTACAATATGGTTCTAATAATTGATTATCATTACATAAACAAACATAACCATCTTGTATACTTAAACAAATTGATTCTGGATGTGGACATGGATTTGAAAAACATGGACCTATAGGTATATCACAATAGCGACCCATATAACCAGGCGAACAATAACATTCCATTTGATCATTATTATTAATATAACATGAACCACCATTTAAGCAATAGCCTGTATAACATTGATTTGAACGATCACGTGATTGTATTTGACAATTTTTTCCAGCATAACCTGGTCGACATTGACATATATAATCATTTGTACCATTACGTTGTTCACATTGTCCTTGATTAAGACATGGAAATTGTAAACAAATATTTAGTGGTTCACATCGACCTGCTGTATGTAATTTTTCTTTATCTATAGTCCATGTATAGCCATCCATACAAGCACAACGTCGTTCAGGAAAACAAATTAAACCAAGTGAAATATCACAATCATTTGGTCGAACACATGCACTATGAAATAAACCATAACGATTTATTGTTGGTACAATATCTAGAATAAATAAAAAAAAAAAAAAATGAAAATAAATATTAAGTTTTTATTTGTCAAATATTTATATTAACCTTGGCAATTTTTTCCTGTATGAACTTGATCACATACACATTTATATGTATAATCATTGATACGATAGCATGTACTATTTCTATAAAACATACAAAAGTTCAGAATTTATATTAAAAATATAGAACACGACAGTAGTGATCCAAAGTAGCTAACCATCGAGAAGGAGTGTCACAATCTTTTAAAAAGGAAGAGAATATCTATCGGCTAACAATACATGTAAAGAAAATTTCAACTCGAGGTGGGAAAAAATTAAAACTTCCTATGATTGGAAGTATGTCACATTTAGTGGTGAAGCCAGAACACTAGTGCCTATCTTATTTTTTCATTTCTTTTTTTTTGAAGAAGGTGGTGCTTTCGTTAAGTGCACCGTGCTATTAAGAATATATGGTGTCAATAGAGCAATAGAACTTTCAAGTATCCTTCCTAGAAAAAGAGAAGAACCATTGTTCTAGTTCCGCTGTTAGCTATACTACTGGTGATTTCTATTAGCCACTCACGCGATCAGATCACTATTGGAAAACAAAAGCAAAAAAAACCGTCCATACCCAATACATGGATTAATTTGACATGGATCATTATTTTCACATTGACTTCCAATACGATTTGGTGAGCATTTACATAAAAATCTTGTTCCATTTCTTGTACAAGTTCCTCCCATATAACATGGTTGAGACGCACATGGTGATATATGTTCACATAGATCACCATAAAAACGTGATTCATCACAACGACACAATGCAGTTGAATTATCTTCTTGAATAATACAACGACCACCATGTTGACACGGACATGACAATTCACATTGATCACCATATTGATTTGGTGGACATTTACATGTTAATGTTGTTATTTTTGATGCATCACATATTGCTTGTTGTGATAAACATGTATCCGAACGACATTGACAAGCAAATGAACCATTTTCAGGAAAAGAAAGACAATTACCACGTGGACAAACATCCGGTAAACGGCATGGATCAACTAATTTTAAAATCGGTTAAAAATTAGAAAATAAATATCCGAAACAAAAGGAGGCGAACAAACTGAATAATAATTTCTTTTTAAAAGTGTAAACTCTAAACTGATATTCAGTTTAAAAAATATCAACATAAAACAAGCCACTTAGCTTGATTCTATAGATTAGAATTAAACTCAATTTATTGTACATAATCTCAATTATAATTTCTAAACTAATTTTTGAGACGAATGTCTTTAAGGATTTAATACATAAAAATCTTCGGATTATTCTTACGACGGAAGTTATCCAATTCATTAATCACGGTTAAGCCGGAAGCATGCGCATCATGTAGACTCTAATGGATTATGAATACCCTAAAAAGAATTGAGGCTCATAGCTTATTGCCCCGACATATTGCACTTTTACTCTATTTTTCATTAGAATGTCGTGATTTTCCTCAGAAACATCGAAAAAACTGATTTTCGAATTTCAACTTGAAACTTTCCATAGAAACAAATCTTAACGAGAAATAGGTAATCATCAAAGTATCATACTATTTAATCTGTTCCTGTTCCGAGATCAGAACATCGAATCTGTGTGTGTTTATGAACGATATCAAACACGCGCTTTTATCATGATTGTATCTTAGGATAGGAACAATGAATATACGTAAAACTGTCAAGATTAACTATTCTCGTTAAGGCTTGTTTCTATGCAAACTTTTAAGTTGAAATTCGAAAATCAAATTTTCTAGTGTTTCTGAGTGGAACTACGCCACTCTATTGAAAAATACTGTCAAGATGCAATATGTCGATAGCGATAAGTCATAGGCCCAAAATATTTTAGGGCTATTCATAATCCATTTGGATTTACATGATGCAGATGTTTCTGACTCAAAAGTGATTCACCAATTGGGCCACTTCCGTCGTTATCAAAATTCTACTTACGGTATTCACAGTTGATTCCAATACGACCTGATGTACATTGACATTTATATGTACCATGAACAGATGTTATTGAATTTGCAATACATGTTCCGCCATAACCACATGGATTACTTTGACAACTTGATGATAACACTGACAAGTTAGCACTACTAGTAAACACTAAATATAAAAAAGAAAACTTCATTTTTCATATATGTTTTTCTCATATATAGTAGCTGATCTAGGATTTTGACAGAGGAGAGAGAGAGAGTGATCATAGTTATAAAACATGTTTTGAAGTCCATTAGAGATCATGTCATCTCATCTATGGATGTTTTCTGCTGAGCAAAATCGAAAAATACTTTGAATGAGAGAAGTAATTGCTCTTCAGTGCCCTTTTTCCTCAAAATCCACCATCGCTCAAATACTTACTAGAATTTTTCCGTGCAGTAACATTAACATTATAAATTGAATTACAAAGATCACCACCACATGTTTCATTAAGTTGCCCTGAACATGTCCAAGAACAACAATTTGATTGATGATCATTTTCATTTTCTCGTTTCATTTTTGTTGGCAAATGATTACCACAATAACATTCTGATCTGTAGATGAATAAAAAAAAAGCAACAAAAATGACTTTTTCCTTTCTTTTTTCTTTTCATCAAGGTTAGAAAGCTTTACACATTTATTTCATACCTAAACTGTAATCCAGCAAAATTCAAACCACGTTCAGCACAATAATTAATACATAGAGCAATAGTCATAGATGATGAAGTCAAAGGTTTAACAAGACCATTTAATATACGTTGATGACGATTATCTTTAAAACATCCGACATAATTCACTATTGGCTTTATTGAATCAACACCAAAAATGACTTGAAAACAAAAAAAAAACGCCAAAAAATGCAATATTTTATTTGAAGAAAAACAAAATATATGAAGGCGGAGAACATCAAAGATAAATATTTTTGACATCATTTTTCAAAGAATTTGACCGTGGTCAGAAGATTCAACAGTACATAGACATATATATATATATATACATTTTTGGGTGTTAGCACCATATACATATACACACAAATTACATAATCTATCTTTGTCCCTTATTCTATAATTCGTGAGTAAAGTTCACAGAAGTTACACTGGCCTCGTTGTGCAAGTGTCAGATTCTTTTCTTCTTTTTTTTTATATATGGATCATGACAAAGAAGAAAGATGTACAATTGTATGCATCTGATTCAGTAAACGTCATCCTTTTTCTTTTTGGTCCCTGCTCATGCAAAGGTTATCCGCACCGGCCAAGATGACGTGCGTGTTAAGCAAGTACAAACAAAACATGTACAACAAAAAAGAAGAAAAAAAATGAGATCTTAATACGTCGGGGCCACGCCTACACGTGTATATGTTATTTCCAATGTATTCTTATGATTATGAGGTTTCTTTTTTGTTTAATACTCATTATCGTTTGTTCGATATCAATCGAATCAATAAGGCGGTGAATATAAATAAAAATATTGAAATATAGATTGTCATACATCCGTATTCATATGTTTGTATGTTTATTACGATCAAAAAGTTCGAAGTAAGATAACGAAGGATTAATAACAAATAGATTTCTTTCTTTGATGTCTTTGTGTTTTTGTTATTGTTTTCTCAATGTCTTTATAGATGATAAATTAAGATTATATTATGTAGAATTGAGTCAACAATGTAGCACAGTTGATGAACTGATAGGAAGAAAATAAGAGAAGATTTCGAAAAACTCTTACCTTCAAAAACTATGAGAATCAGAAGTATAACTTTGATCATATTGCTTGAATAATAAGAATTTTTTGTTCGAAAGCTGATTGACAATGATAGCAAAAGGTGAGTCTTGTTCTATGTAGATGAAATATACTTGCTTATGATTCTCATTCAAAAGAGGAAGGACATTTTGTGACAGTATTCATCATCTTTTATGCTTTTACTTTTATCATGTCTTCTCTCTCTCTCTCTCTCTTTCTCTCTCTTCCTCTCTATGAATGATCGAATGGACAGATTATTAGTGTTCTTCCCGCCTTCGTTCACTAAGCCAAACAATAACGACCAATTCTCTCTTTTCATCATTTTTCTCTGTTTCTCTCTCCATCAGCAACTATGATGAAAGGTGAACGAAATATGTACGTGCTTCTTTAATAATAATCCCTCACTCTTATTAACAAAAAAAAAAATCATTATATTTATCGTAGAGACAAGTTTAGGTGACTAAGTATCTTTCTAATTGATCACATATGAATAGATATTCTTTGAAAAGAAATATTAATAAAGTAGAATTTATACTTATCATTCAGTTATTAAGAAAAAAAAATGAAAACTCTTGTCAACATTGAAACTATATAAATTTCATTATAAATTGATTGTACTACTGATGATGAAGTAGAATCCTGCGAGACAGTCGCGAATCGCAAGAAATCTTCTTTGTTCTGTCCTGTGAGAGAGATGGAATTTGGTGCTATTGAAAAATATCTCGGAACGAGATCTGGCAAACGAAAAAAGTTTTGTTCTGAAAGATTCTATTGTGAAATATAGACGTTCATATCATCTTTCATTTTAACGCGTGGATCGGAAGTTTTTACACAAAATATTTGTTTATATTTTGCGTCTCTCGCAAGTGTTTCTAATAAAATCTAAAACAATGGGTTAGGTCAAGCATATTGTGTATTTTCCAAATATGGTCTTAAAAATTTTATGTCATTTTTTGTTTCATGGTAGTGAATTAATGTTTGAAAAGGTTTCAAACATGAGTTCAGACTGAAAGTATGTGTCGACGTTTCTCGTACCAATGATTGCTGATTTTGAGCTTCTTGAAAGTATTTTGAGCTAAGCTAAAACAAAATATGATATTCAGAATTTTGTACTGTTTTTTTTGAATATAGGATTAGAAACATTGTGTTCAATTTTGTTCGAAGCTAATGAAGACATTTTCTATGAAAGTTCAAAAAATAAAATTGAATAGTGAACACATAGACTTCGGTAACCCCCATAAATTCCTTTTCGAAAGTATCAAAAATTATTTAAGTCAGTCGTTTTGGCGGACGGCCACTCTTTTACGAAATGTTATATCAAACTAAGCTTTGGCTTTTACTTAAGTGAAGCAATGTGGACTTTGCCAAGAGCTCCCATCTATACAAACATTTTGTTAATCAAAATGTTGATTTTTCAAAAATGATAGTTTAAGAGATACAAGGATTGCAGTGACTTGTAGAAATATTCCAAAAGTACATTTTGTCGGGTAGCTTCTTATCTATAGGTTAATGTATTAATAAAAGCTTCAATATTAACTTTCGAGTTGCAATAGTGAAAGTATGAAAGCTTGAGGAAAAATTTTCTATTCAAACTATTTTTTTGATCTGTCAAAAATCATTTCGGTAATCTCAAGAAAAAGTTTAAACTGACGTTCTGAAAGAATCCAACACGCCAGGTCCTAATTCATAGCTTATGACTGAAAATTATTCGTTAATCCATTATTCATGAAAACGCAAGAACGTTTCCGATTAATAACAAATGAAACTATTTATAATGAATTTTATTTAAAAATAAAAACAAACGAACAAACGTAAAATATTACAAAATATGACGTGAAACAATCATTGATTTTGGTTTTTGATTTTTAATATTCATTGAATTAATCATTTCGAAAACATGATCCATACAAACATTACCAAATATATCATCAGGATTTTTTTCATGAAAATAAACTTGATTTATAATTGCTAATTGAAGTTGATCTTCTACATAAATAAAACATTATTTAAAAGTAAAATAAGAACGAAAAAATTTACTCTGAGCCCAAGATGGAATTTTCTTTTTACGACGACGAATCATAGCTAATCCAGTATTATTAAGTTCATCATCATGAAATATAGTCATATCATAATTTTGAATTGTTTTAGATATTGATTGAGATTTATTATTTAACTTAATCTCTCGAACAACATTTGATCTAATTTATTAAGTATTATATTGTTCAGTAATGCCAACAAAGAAAAACAAACTCACCCTTTTATACGTTGAAATTTACGAGTAGATAAATTTTCTTGATGATTTTCATGAGAACGTTGATGAACACCAATAGAACGTTTTTTTGAAAATTGACGACGAAGGATTGATTTTACAGATGAAGATGACCGTGGTTGAACAAACGAAAGAATGGATGAATCAGCAGGAAGCAAGCACTAAAACATTTATATTCTTATAACAAAAAAAAAAAAAAAAAGAAAAAAATTATAAATATAGAGAAATAAAACTGACTGGATTGCAAAGACGAGTTGAGAAAGGCATGATAATCGACGATGAGTAGAAAATTATGTTATGTCTTAGAAAATGAATTCGATTCTCTCTATTTATGAAGAAAAGCTTATTAAGTTCAATGTGTCCTAAATTAGCTCTAATCAAAGAATTTTTCTATGAAGTAAAATTATCTATTTCAATTAAACAAATCAAATCTTGTGTTTTTTTTTTTCATCATAATAATTTCATTAATTGATTGTCACTGATATGTTTACATCAAAGACAAAAAAAAAGATAGCAAAACTTCATGTAGAGCCTACCGGGGTAAATGTATAGACTTTTTATCATTTTTCACTCGTATGCTTCATATCTCTGTTGGTATAGATGATAGAAAAAAATTTTCTTCACAAGTACTGTAGCCTAAACATTTTTCTTTCGTTTGCTGTTTTCCAATTTTTGAAATCTAGTCGAACGCCGAATCTACACCTATTTTGGTGAAACCTACTACGCCGTTATACATTTACCCCATTTTGGGGCTATTGAATAATCCGTCATCGTCTATTGGGGCGAATGTATAATGTCTATTAATTTTGGCTTGCACAGTAAAATCAAAAGTTATCATCGATGTTTATGTTTACTAAAGATTTTTTTACATTAGCTTGTAGCGCAATCATTTCTCTATAAGTCTATACTATTCATACTTAATAGATAGTAAATCAACTCGATCGCGAAGCTGTTTCCCGAGAGCACTGTCCGAAAAAAAATAAAAAAATTCATCGTATATGGGGCAAATGTATAATCACATAGACATAATAGGGGCGAATGTATAAGCCCAGCTATTTTTGCTGGTATCAGTAAAACTGAATTTTTTTTCAAAATAAAAAAGATTTCAATGATATTTTTTTACAGAAATGTTACTCATAAAAAACTACACGGACCAAACCATTTTTTTTAGTCATTTCTCTACTAATTTTTCAATATAATAGGGATAGTATTCATAAAAACGGTAAAACAATGAAAAAGCCATTTTTTTATCAAGAATATTTTTCAAAAATAATTCGATATTTGGAATCAGCATTAAATTCTGAGTAAAATTATGTATTTGTTTCCATCGAAAAACGACTTATATTTTTTATCAATTTTTTGGCACCTGTAGGAGACCTCAGGGTCGAGTGAAAAAATTTTTTTTTTCAGCTTTACTCAACTTTAGTAAATTTACCATCATTTTACTCAGAATTTAACGCTGATTCCGAATATCATAGCCATACCACTTAAAAAATTACTACGATAATGCAAATATTGAAAATATCAAATACTAATAAACCAACTCCGCGATAATTTCGAGGTTTTATTAGTGAAAACTAATTTATAAACAAAAAAATATGATATTCGGAATCAGCACGAAATTCTGAGTAAAATTGATGGTAAATTTGCTAAAGTTGAATTAGTTTTNTTTTCGATAGAGAACTTCAAAGGCCATCGAAATCACTATTTAGATTTGATCTAGCTATTCGTCTTCATTGAAAAATCTCAACGACAAAAGGGGGTCTATAATTTTGATAAGCCCTGTACTTATCAAATATCAAACTAGCTCTGCTATTTTTGAAAATTCCAAACTCAAATCTTAAACATCAAATCTAAATTATGTCATATCAATTTCGAAGGGTTCAGATTCGTTGCATCATTATGGTGCTTTATCTTATGGAGGCTCATCAGATTTGAATCATTTTGAGAGCAAACCCAAGCCCAAATAGAAATTCAAATCTATGTTTAGATCAAATTCAAACCTTTGAATAAAAATTCCCAAGGTCTTGGATTTGTTGCACTCGTACAGAAGCCAGCAATCTGAGCTCTCCACTATCAAAACTCTGGCCATACTACTGATATAATGAAAGTTAGATATTCAAAACTAGGATTATAAGTTCAAGTTGTTTTTCGAGAGTAATCATCAACATAGATAGATCTACTGGATATCTGATTAATTTTATCTGAAAAGTTTTAAACGCTATTTCATTGCTAAAACTTCATTTTACTTACATGTACAAATTAGAATTTATCTCAAAGACTGTTTATGAAGAATTAGTGTTCTAGCGGTTCTTGTTTAGATTACATCTTTCATTAATATTTTGTTTTGTACACGTATCATTATAAGAATATAGCAATCCAAGATATATCTCTATGATGAATCTTGAATCAACACAAAATAATAGTTTATTAGATATCCATAGTAAATGATTTTCAATTAATCTACGAAATTTTTCTTCATCACATCATGAAAAGTGTGACGAATAAGTACAATTCGATTGAATAAGATTGTCTCTATCATGGTGTATATGTTTGAATAATAATCAAATTCTTCTATTTTGTTTTTTGTTTCTCATTAAACTAATGATATAAGAGTACAATCATGAGACCGACGAATATCCGAAGCATTCGATAAAACAAAATTTTAACGTTCAATATCCTTTCTTTTAAAAGCTAGTCAACATCGACTTTTTATTATTATCATGAATGAACAATGATTCTTTTGATGAGCCTAAAATGTCCATTAAACAACAAACTATCACTTATCGAAATTCTGAACCAGAATTCTTATATATGTTATACAACTTTTTATTTTCTACACAATGATAAAAATATATTCAAAAATAAATGATACGTTCAGAGCGAAACAAAGTTTACATCTCTCTTTCTTACATAATGGTTTTTCAATACAAAAAAAAAACTTAGCAGTTTTCATTGTCATGATCCAGTTGTCAAGCAAAATAAATACAATATTCGAAGTCAGTGTTAAAAACTACCTTGAATCAAACGCATTTAAGAGAATTTTTTTCTTCCGAAAAACTGACCAATGAGGGATCACAGAACAACATTGTAATCAAATAACAACCTTGGAGAACTACAGGTGAGGTTTTAACAAAAAAAAATTCTTAAATGTGTTTGATTCAATGTAGTTTTTAACGCTGATTTTGAATGTCGTGTTTATTTTATTTTAAAATTGGGTCAATGGCAATAAAAATCGATATATTTTTTTTATATTGAAAAACTATTATGTAAGAGAGAGAGAGAGAGAGATATAAACCTCGTGTCGTATCGAAAGTATCATTTATTTTTGAATACTTTTTTTTTCATTCTATAGAGAATAAAAAGATGCATAACATATATAAAAATTCTGATTCGCAATTTCGATAAGAGATAGATTGTTATCTAACGGACATTTTGTGCTCATCAAAAGAATCATTTTTCATTTATGTTGGCCATGTAAAAAATGTCAGTCGATCAACGCTGTATTATATTGAAATAACTCATATTGTTCACTTTTTAATTCTGTCTTTTAGTGTTATTCATAGAAAATTTAAGCAATTCATTGAAATGAAAATTAACACAATTTTTCCGGACACTTTTTTCTGTTTATTCTCATATAAACATATGACAGAAGGTAAGAAGTCAATATTGACTCACTTTTGAAAAAAATGATATTGAACATTAAAATTTTTGGGTTGGTAATGTCAGGCATCGATGTATTGAATGCACAACAAAAAAAGAAAATTTTGTTTTATTGAGTAGCTTGTATACTTGTTGACTTCATAATTGCTTTCTTAAATATCTTTATTTGTCGTTCATATCTGTCTTTTGACTTTTATATTCATATAACAGAAATAGGAACGTTATGGTTTTTTTTTTGACCCATCTTATATCTACTTAACAAGGAAAATTTTTAAGTCATACATTACATTAATTTACTGTAAAATAAATTCAAATCAATTCTTAGAGACGATTAAAAATAAATTTGAGACATTTCATTTCAAAAGATTACTTATTTATTATTTATGAAATTTGATTCTATTTGTTGTTAGAGATAAAAGAAATGTGCCAAATAAGACAAGTTACTGCTGATAACAGTAAATCTGTTTTTTTTTTATCTCTTGTAAAAGTCAACAATTAACAGAGAATGTTTTTATTCAATTAACATTAATAATCATACACATATTGATTTGTGTATATGATAATTAGAAAAAGTAGCAGTTCATGGCGTTTTCTGCTTTTTTTCTATTTCTTTTGATCGTTAAACTCAAGTGTGTGTACTCTAGTAGTCTTGTTTTTGACATTTTCTTCTTATTATTTTTTTTCATCTAGAAGTTTTCAAAAAAAGCCGAATCATATACAATAAATAAATCAGTTGATCTCGATTCGCTTATTATCAAAGTTGAAGAACCTAATAAACGCGTAAGTTTTAATAAAAAATAAGTAATTTTTTTTTCAAAGTTTTGAAATTCATTAGTTATATGTTCTGATTTGAGCAATGTTATTTTTATAGCTTAGAAAAAAAATTTACATTGCACAGTTTTTTTAGAGATATCGCTATGATAAGATAGTTTTTTTCTAGTATACCCATCAAATAACATTAGTTCGACTTTGTTCAAAATTTAAGCCTATGAAAGGAATATTGAATAACTATTGGTACAATATGTGAACTTTTTCTGTAATTTATATACTATTTTTTTGTTAATTGATGGACATAGACGAGTTCAAATCTATTAGAAATGTACTGGACGTACATTCAGAGTAAAAGCATTATTAAAAGTCGAATACTCTTGTTTTTACTCTAAAATCTTCAATGATGCACTAATCATGCCTGACATAAGAGAAAAAATCCAACAAAAGAATCGTTATTCGATCTTTGTAATTCTTTCAATAGAAATAATAAAATAGACTTGACAAACAATACTAGTTGATAATTATATATTGAAAATGGTATAAGAAAGAGATCATTTTACGTTTATACTGAGGGAAAATCATCTACTGATAGATCCATTATGAAATTTAAATATAGAGTAGCATAATTTTGATAATAACAATAAATTCTATAAGCACAGTATTAAGAATTCGAATGCATACTATTCTGTAGTGCTATTTATAGTGAATTCCTTACGCCACTTTACATAAATACTTTTTCAAATGTAACATTTTGAGAGCAATAGTGAGATCATATGATTAGTAATTTTTGAAGAACAATATAATTCATTATTGTGTTTCATTCAAACACTGAT